TGGGTCTACAGCTCAAAAAGACCAAAAAAACCCAAAATTTATTATTTATGTGTATATGTGCGTGTCTATGTGTGTGTATGCGCATGTGTGTGCAGGTGCCTGTGGATGCTAGAAGAGTGTCAGATCCACCGAATCTGGAGTTATAGGCAGTTGTGAGCCCCCTGACATGGGTGCTGGGAACCAAATTCTGATCCTCAAGAGCAGTATGTGTTAACCAACGAGTGGGGCCATCTCTCCAGCCCTAAGACAGCATCTTTATGAGGAAAGGGAGATGTGACTATGACCATGTGAAGGTAAGACAGAAATTGGAGTGATGCACCCACAAGCCGAGGAACACAAGAGTCGGCAGAAGCTGTGGTGTCCTCCCTGAGAGCCTCCAGAAGATCCCGGTCCAGGCACCTTATTTCTGAGTCCCTGTCTCCAGAGGTGTGAGAGGTCATGGTCACAGTTCTCTTTGACGGTGACAAGCTCGTGGTAAGGTGTCACAGCAGCTGGAGGACACCTACAGATGGGGGAGAAGGCAATCTCCCTCTGCTGCAGTCACCCCCCACCCCCACTCACCTTCCATTCTGCCAGTATCCTCCATGGAAAAACACAAAGAGGGGCCAAGCTGTAACAAAAGACGGGGTGGAGGCACACGGGTGAGCTGGCCACCCGGCTCGCCCTGCTGCAGACTGCCTGCCCCACTCAGCTCACCCTCAGTTGCCTTGTCAGGAAAGTAGATGTCCAGTTTCTCCCCTTCACCATCCCCATAGGGGACATTCAGCCGGCTCCTCCTGGTGGCCCTGGCCATCGTGGTAGCTGTCCCAAGAGAGACATGTTGTCAGGCTCTAGTGAGCCAAGTTCTACCCATTTGCCGCAACCTCCTGGGGTGACAGTTTGCTTCAGTTTTGACAGCTCCCCAACAGGAGACTCCCCTGTAGGAGGCTCTGAGGCCCTGACATCTGCTATCTGTGGACCTGTGGTCCTGACAGGTCCTGTGGTTGCTGCTTCCATACAGTGTGCTAATTATTTGTGCTCTACACTTTGTTATGTGCTCTACACTTTGTTATGTGCACTACCATGCCTGGCACTATTTTTATTTTTAATTATGTGTATGTATGTGTCTGTGTGTGGGTATGTACATGTTAAGTGCAGGTGCCTATAGAGTCTAGAAGAGGGTGTCAGATCCCCCGGAGCTGGAGTTACAGGTGGTGAGAGCCAACCAGCATGGGTGCTGGGAACTGAATTTAGATCCTCTGGAAAGGCAGTATGCACCCTTTTACTGAGGAGCCACCTCTCCAGCCCCTTTTATTACATTTTTGTTCATTTGTTCTGGGTACATATGTGTATTTGTGTGGGTATGCATATGCCAGCTCCCCAGCAGGAGAGGTCAGAAGACAATTTGCAAGAGTTCATGCTTTCCTTTGACCACATGGGGCCCAGGGATCAAACCGAGGTTGTCAGGCTTGGTGGCAAGCAACCTGAGCCATCTCACCAGCCCATTAATTAAAAAAAAATTTTTTTTTTTAATTCCGGCACTTGGGAGGCAGAGACAGGCAGATCTCTGTGAGTTCAAGGCCAGCCTTGTCTACGTAGCGAGTTCCAGGCCAGCTGGGGCTACAGAGAAACCCCGTCTCAAAAAGACCAAAAAAGAGGTGTAAAAATCATCTTCAAATAGCTCTAAAAACCAAACTAGGAGTATTTCCTGTGTAAGGAGCAAGCACAGATTACACAAATCCCACAGAGCACATCACATTCACTTTGCCAGCCATGCAGTTGGTCTGGCCACCATTCTGTCCACCACTCCCCTTTCAAAGGAATCCCAGGGGCTCCCCCTCCACTGCCTCTCCTGAATCAGAGCTCCTCTCCACCTGCACCAGGACTTCCTGGCTGGCTCTGCCTTTTTTTGTCCCTGGAAGTCATGACACCCCTCTGCTCTCTGTAGCCACTAGCATGCACCTGTTCCAACAGGCATCTCATATGGCCACCCCATGGCTGAGATCCATCCTGGGTCCCCATATCAGTCAGCTTAATGTTGTAACAACACACCCCAATGGGGGGAGGGCAGCTTGCACAACAGAACTGCATTCTCTTCCAGTTCTGGAGGGTAGAGGTACAAGATCAAGGTAGCAGCAGGTTGGTGTCTGCAGACGGCCCTCTCCTTGGGTTGCAGGCCTGCAGTCAGGGCTCTGCACAATGGCTTGCCGCTGTCTCCATGCCTGGGCTATCACAAGCAACTCTGCCTGGAAGAGCCCTGTCCACACCACACTGAACCTGGATTCCTGTGGAATGTACTCAGAAGTGTAACTTTTGGGAGATGTGTGCCTAAGGGTGGGTTAAAAGCTAGAGACTTCATTAAGAGTCCTTACAGCTTGCCTGGGCTGATATGGTACCAAGACTGCACTCTGGAAGCCAACTCACATCCAAATCTCAGATACTAAAAACCCCACTGACCTCAAGAACAAGAGACGGCCTCTGGCTGGGAGTTGGCTCAAAGGGCATCACAGTGAGAGCCACCTGGTACAGAGACAGAGTCGGTGCTGCACAGCCACACACAGAGTGTGAATACCACCTGCCCTTCAGACTCCAAACCCCAAGACAGGAACAGAGAGAGGAGGGCTTCAACAAGACACCCCAGAATAGACCTGATAACAAAGTCTAAACTGGACTTTAATTAGTTACACCCAGAGTGGCAGAAACTCTTAACAGACAAAACCCCAGGACTAGGCAGCCAGGACAGGCACTGACCTGAGCACTATGTTCGACCAACAGGGCATGAGGAAGCAGAAACCCTGAACGCTAACCCAGGCCTGAGACGGAAGGCGGCCAGCCACAGACTGACTACAGGCTATACAGTTTAGGGAGTCCAGCAGCCACAGCACACCCAGTTTAGGTTTCTGTGTTTGAGACAGGATCTCAGGTAACTCAGGCTGGAGTTATTGATGGTTGTGAGCCCCCATGTGGGTGCTGGGCACTGAACCCAGGTCTTCTGCAAGAACAGCCACTACTCTTTTTGTCTTTTTTGGGTCTTTTTGAGACAGGGTCTCCCTAGACACCACGCTGGCCTTGAACTCACAGAGATCCACCAGCCTCTACCTCCCAAGTGCTGGGACTAAAGGTGAGAGCCGACACGCCTGGCAAGAACTACCACTGCTCTTTTTTTATTATTTTTATTCTATGTGTATGTGTGTTGCCTGCATGTATGTGAGTGCACCCGTGTCGTGCAATGCCGCAGAGGTCAGAAGAGGGCTTTGGACTCCTCTGAAACTAGAGTTAAGGACGGTTCGTAGCTGCCATGTAGGTGCTGGGAATCGAACCGGGGTCCTTTGCAAGAGCAGTCAGTGCTCTTAACCGCTGAGCCATCTCTCCAGCCCCGTGACCACTGCTCTTAACCACTGATCCGTCATCACCCAGCCCCAAGATAATCTCCTACAGACATGGCCATAGGCCATTCTGATGTGGAAATTCCCTTTGAGATTGTGTCGGATTGATAGTAAGAACTGACACGCTCATGACAGTAGGTTTGGTGCTACTGTGCAGGCCACACTGAGGGGCAGGGTTCCCTTCCCTTTCCTCCCTCCCATCTCAGAGCCCCCTCCAGCCCCGTGTCCCCTCCACCTCTGCTGTGTGCCTCTTCCCTCTCTGTGTGGTACTTGGATTTGTCTAACTCACTGAGACTGAGCCCTAGACCCCTGCCAGCCTCTTCAGCTGACCCCCTCTTCTTGCCTCTGTGGGCACTGCATGCATGTGGTGCACTTACATACAGGCAGAGCACTCAGACACAAAAACCAAAAAGATAGAATATTTAAAAAAACATCATCTTGATTGATGATTCATGTGGGAGGGGCCCAGCCCACTGTGAGAGGCGCCATCACTAGGTAAGTGGGTCTGGGCTGTATAAGAAAGGTAGCTAGGGGCTGGAGAGATGGCTCAGTGGTTAAGAGCACTGGCTGCTCTAGCAGAGGGCCTAGGTTCAATTCCCAGCACCCACATGGCAGCTAACAACCATCTGTAACTCCAGTTCCAGGGGATCCGACACCCTCTCTGACCTCTGTGGGCATTGCACAACACTGGTGAACTTACATACATGCAGGCAATACACTCATACACATAAAGGTAGCTGAGGCCTGGCATAGTGAGGCACATTCTAGCCCTCAGAAAGCAGAAGCAGGCAGACCCTTATGAGTTGAAACCAGCCAGGGCTACACAGTAAGACCCTGTCTCAAACAAATACAACTAGCTGACGTGAGCCCGGGAGTGGGCTATAGCCATAAGCAGTGTTCCCCCGTGGTTTCTGCTCAGTTCCTATCCTGACTTCCCTCAGTGCTGGATTATGATCTGGAGGTTGTAAGCTGAAATAACCTGTTTCCTCCCCAGATTGCTTTTGGGTCCTGGTGTTTATCAGAGTAACAGAAAGCTAAATAGAAGACTCCCCCACCCCCAGATTGGGTTTTCAGGGGCCAGGGAAGTTGCTGAGTGGGTGGCATGCACTAAACTCTGGGTTCGATCCCTAGGACTGCATAAACTGGGCATGGTGGCACATGCCTAGCATCCCAGCACTTGGACAGTGGAAGCGAGATCAGGACTCAAGGTCATCCTCAACTCTAGCAAGTTTGAGACCTGCTTGGGCTACATGAGACCCTCCCTCAACACAACAACAGAAAGCATTTGTAGAGGCAGAAGGGACTGGAGAGAAGTGGGAGCGGTAATGCAAATGATTTCTGGCACCTGTGCACCTACTGTAAAGTTTAGAGAGGGCCGGCAAGATGGCTCAGTGGGTAAAGGCACTTGCTGCCAAACCTAGCAACCAGAGTTCAATTCCCAGACTCACATAAAGGTGGAAGCTTCCTGGATGTGGTAAGGAACCTGTGCTTGCTGCTGGCCCATGACAGCTAAGAGCGAAAGCAAACGAGTAAAGTTCATCCGTCCTGGTGAATGTTCATGGGAACACCCCCAAGACAAAGGTGGAAAGAACCCCAGCATTCATAGAAGGATGAACAAACTATGGAACACAGTGGAATATTACTGGGCCATAAAAAGGAGTGCAGTCCTATTACCTGCTGGAACACAGACAGATCTTGAAGACATTACCTAGCGCATGACATCCTGGGCAGGTAAATTCTTGGAGACGGAAAGCCGTGGGCAGATGCCAGGGGCTGGGGAAGAAGGATAGGGAGCCACTGCTTAAGGAATGGAAGTTTCCTCCAGGGATCATCAAACTGTCTCGGAATTAAAACTAAGCGTGGTAGTCTATTCTTGTAGTTCCAGCGTTCAGAAGACTAACAGGAGGATTGCAAAGAGTTGAAGACTAGCCTGGGCTACACAGTGAATACCAGGCCATCCTCGGGCTATCTCAAAAAAAAAAACAAAAGTGTGGTGGTGCACACCTCTATCCCAGCACTCAGGAGGCAGAGGCAGGCGGATCTCTGTGAGCTCAAGGCCAGCCTGGTCTACACAGTGAGTTCCAGACCAGCTGGGGCTACAGAGAGACCCTGTCTCAAAAAGACAAAAAAAAGCTAGGACATCTCCCAGGTAAACCCAGGAACTAGCAGCTGATTTTTCCAGATTTATCCAAACTCTCCCAGATAAGAGGACAAGGCCGAGGAGTGGGCCAGCCTGAGCCCTAGCATTACCACAGCTAAAGCGGCTCAGCCTGGCAAACGAGTTCTCACAGGCAATTCAAAGGAACACGAGATAGAACTGGATGGAATCCTGTAGAAAACAGTGTCTTCTGCATCAGTTGGCTTTGGAAATGTTTTTAACATAACTGTGTATCACAATAAGCTATAAAGTATGTACGTGTGGTAAAATCTCCCTGA